CGGTCTATTTTGACCGGGATTTACTATTGACCGGCGAATAGTATCACACGTTTATTGTCCGGTCTCTCTATAATCAATGCCGTAAAATGAAACTTTATAAGATAAATACAAGGTAGTCTAACTAGACAAAACTTTATTGATGTATTAGGTTAAGACGCGAACATATAAACAATACGCGAGGGGTAGTTGCCTAAGTTATATACTACAGTATAGAATACTGTATGTTAGTTTTGACAAATATTCTTATGTTTTAAATTTTTTAGTCAGTGCACAGCCATTGTATAAAGTGTACAAAACCTATTTTAAGTGTTTATTTTAAAAGTGGCCCTAATAAGTGGCCGTGAAACGGTGCTATTGAGAAGTTTATTTATTTATTTATTTTGTAATTTTATTGCTATGTAATTTTAATTGAATAATTTCTTAAATAGGCTGTGCACTAGACTATTTTTACCATACAGTCTCATGGTTATTATCAAAATTGGGAGGTGCTGGCTACAGATTACCCATAATGTCAAAAAAGACTCCATATTGTATATATCCCTTTGCCCCCCGCCCCGTGTTATTTATTATCTATCTTTTTTTTATCCCTGTATATATAAACTAGTATCCTTAATACTAGTAAACGTGAACCCGTGCCCCCATATGGAGCAATACGTTTATCACGGGTTCACTCAAGCATGAGATTTTCTTATATATGTTACATAAAGACTATCTCATCACATTATGGGTAACCAAGTTATTATTATTAGCCATATTTGGGACATAGATTTTTTTTCTTCTTATTCTTCTATGAATTGTTTAAGTAATAGAAGATCAATTATTATGTGTGATATCTAGATGCATAATAATTTATAGACCATGAGACAGTGATAAATAGATAAGGCCGTTTCCACCACATTTTATTTATCATATTTGTTTTAATTTTGAAATAAAGTTGGTAAAAACACGTATACATTGGATGCAACGGGCACCCGCAAAATTTCTATCCAGTCCGCGCGACAAACTTGTCGAAATAGGTCAACACAAAAACTTGCAGATTTTTCAAGAAAAATCGGATTGACCTCCTTATTTAGATAGAAGAAATTTTAGACCAATGAGAACAAAGGAGGCAATCCTCTCTAAACCAATCAAAATTAACTTTATAAAGCGGGTGTTCGGAAGAACTCACAAAATTTACAAAATTTAAAACAAACTCTGCTAATTACAAACATGTAATTTATTATATGCATCCCAATGTATACGGTTTATAACATGTAAATAGAAACCAACATAAACAACAGTCAGCCCACATTGAATTGGTCAGAAAACGTTCCTGACATGCCTTCTCGCACATAAGTATGCGAACTCTACAATTATAGGTAAATTTCTAAAAAATTTTAGTTATATTAAATAAATATTAGTCCTGTATTAAAAGACGGTACTCTATATAAACGTCTTGGCCGATTTTAAATTAAGTGCTTTTAATTAATAAATTTTAGATTTCTCAAACTTAGTATGGGATTGCCCCATCTTCCTCCCATGGCAGAGGTTGTACGTAGAGACAACCCTGTCATGGGGGATATGGTATGCACATAAACACATGTACGGATATAATAACAAGTATAATAAACATCAGATCCCCTTTTTTTTAATGATTATAAATGAAGTATATGCTCGCCCATATGGTCTCTTTCCGGTGGCGAGGGTAAACAAACACAAACACACACACTGGTCTCTCCCGGTTTTGGAGTAGATGTTTGATATCGTTACAGAACAGAACAAATATTTTACAGATAAATAAGCTTTTACCAAAATGAATGTCTGTCACTTAGTTTGGTTACAATAATTAATAAACATAGATCAACTCTCAAATTTATTGATTATTATTATACATAAACATACAATTCGAAAAAGACCAGCAACAACAATAGCATGTTTCATTTTATCTATATGAGATAAAAACAATAAATATGTACAATAATTGAGAAAAAGGTACATTTTATGGTATTAATATGACACTTTGAAACATTTTATTTAATTTGTTATTCGTGTTTAGTAAGTGCCGAGGAATTATTCAAAGTTACAAATTAGATTTTATGAATTATTCAATTGATTGATAATATAAAAAAATGATAAAGATAAATACAAATGTACATGTACATGGTTTAAGAATAAACAATATTATATATTGAAAGATTAAGCATAATTTACTGATTTTTTCCAGTTAAGTTTTGACTTATAATCGATAGATCGGTCAATATGACAATTGAATTCATAAAATTTATTTTACAATTTTAATAAAATAAAGAGTAGTAAACGTAAAACTCAGTATTAGAATAGCACATAAAACACAAAAAAGAGAGGAAAACAATATTCATAAAATCTGTATTTTTTATATTAAAATAGATATTACAATTATTGTATAATAAACAATTATGTTCAACATGATCAACATGGTAATATAACCAGTGTCATATTTTTACTAAATGTGAACAGATACCTTAAGGGGTCTTCGCTAATAGCGATAACATAATAAGAGACAATTCCACAAGTGTGGTGTTGATCATGCATGACACATATGGATTATAAATGCTAATATACATGTATATCCTTTGCTATGAATAATCACGATCATAAAGAAATAACAAGTAATATTCTAATCTCTAGCATGCCAATCAAAGTTCATAATGAACAATGTCTTTCGTCCGTTCATTCTGGTAAAAACCAAGTTTATACGAATATCTTGTCATCATATGTCTACTAGTTCATCTTCACTTTCTGCATTTCTTGCTTGGACGCCCTTTGATGCTTTGCATCAATGCTTTTCTTGTAATAACTATAGAACATTGCCAGTAATCCATACATAAGACGTTAGTATGATACTGTGAATTGTCTCCCTTAATCAGAACCACTTATTCTTCCTTTTAATATACTTTTAATATATTAACGCGGAGCGTTAATTGAAGGATGCATGGGTGTTTCTCGTGGGACTTCTATTGAAATAGCCGCTTCGTAGTTAAAATGAATGGTTACCTATTTCTATCCACCTGGCGCCTGGCATAGTGGTAGAAGTTGGGAGGTACATGGTATGCAAGCAAAGTGTCTCATAAGTCAGAAATGGCTGGCCCTTTCAGTAGGGTTGACACTATGCCATTTAACTAATTTCAAAATCGCGAAACTCGCCATTCAATTTTTCTTCATTTACGTTAAAAAATATGGATGTTTAACCATCGCATTACCAGACACACAAACATGTGTATTGTCGAAATGGAAAAAAAAAAGGAAAATACTGGTCACACTTGTTAATTCCACCGACAAATGTTACCGCCCAAAATAATGTGACAAATAATTTGATTGGTTGTGACATACTTGTATATAAAGCCTCAAAGTTTCAAGGTTGTTCTTCATAACCAGCCCGCAAAGCTCAATCGGTTAGAGCGCGAGACTTGTATTCGATTCCCGCGCTGACCAACTAAAATTTCTAATCAGTCTTTTGGATGAGACTTTAAATCGAGGTCCCGTGTATGGGTGCTTAAACACTTGGCACGCTAAAGAACCAGGAGAAGCTTCTGGAATTGGGGCATCTTTCTGTATCTGTAATTGCACTATCCTCCAAAAAATAAAATGACTAATACTCTTCTGGAGGACTCGCCCATGTGGACAACCGGTGGCGAGTATAAATAAACGCAAATACACACACAAATTTGTTCCTCATAAAACGTTTTTTTTTTTCGTGTTTTGTTTCTTTGTTTGTTTTGTTTGATGTTTTTTCTTTCATCACTTTATTTCTTTGTTAAATACAATTTAACTTGTCACATTTTATCTTCCCACGCATGAAGTTCAGATCTTTGTCTTAACTTTCATAGTAATGAACAATTTGACAATAGTAAAAAACTGATTAATACTTCCTTTTTAGTGAATGCCATAATTGCCATTGTGGTTAAAGATGACGGAAGTGTGGGCACAGTCGTTCATGCTTCAACTCTATTGTTTAAAAAACATCCGCTGAGTAACCTTTACGTTCGACGCTCCACAGCCATTTGTAAAAAAAACTTTAAAGGGACTCAACTGCGTTTAGTGTGTGTGTGCGTGTGCCTGAGTGCGTGATTGCGTTCGTGCGTTCGTACGTGTGTGTTTTCTTTTGTTGTTGTTTTTTGTTTGTTTTTTGACGTGAAGGAACTGATATTTTTCTCCTCATTTCATTATACCATTTGATGAAAGTGTATACCAATTACTTAGTTCCAAATTTCAGATAATTTGGTCACTTCGTTTTTCTAGAATATTTATTTTATCGTGCAAAATGACTTAAAAGTGGAAAGCATTAATATTATAACATGTTTCACATTCTTTCCTTTTTAAGTACCCTAGTTATTCTATGAACGATTTTCAATTTCCATGTTTTTAGGCCTTGGAATCCCGGTGAAACTCATTTAATTAAACGTCAATATACATATAAACTGAACATACAATATACATAATTATAACCAGAAATTCTTTTATATTGACCTTTCAGAGTAAGCAATCTTTCCACAAAAGTGTTTCTATTTCGGAACATCCCGGTACACTGTACTAATGACAATGGTTATTCTACATTTTAGTAATTATACGAAACTGGCAGAAACTACTCTGCCAACAAGACAGTAATTGTATTTTCCCGACTTAAACTGCAGCATTTTTTTTTACTTTGTGACCCTGGTTATCATATTTCATTTTTTTTATTTCAGTCACAGTATTAACTAATTTGTAGCAAACTTTTATGTTATAAATGTCCCGGTTATCCTTTGTAAGCATTACATATTTTACAATTTTACGCTTTTGGACAAGTGGACTTCCTTAATCTAATGCTTTTCATAAATTTTTTTTAAGTAAAAACCACAAAAATATTATAATTTATGATTATAATTTTTAAGAAGATAAACGGAATAAATAAAAACTTCATGAGATAGGTTGTTAGAATGCAGTTTCTTAACAATATCATAAACTTCCTACTTAATTGACAAAGGAATCAACAAGTCTTTAGGAATAGTTTCAGTGAATTATTTAAGAATCATACGTCAAAATTTAAAAAACAATTACATTTTACTGTATTGTTAACAGAATTGTAAGGATGTTAATACAAAGTGAACATTCACATTTAAGAAACCGAAAAGAGAGGAGAAGTAACGGGGCTTACCGCATTCATCTTAAACATGTACATTTCTAGTTAACCCTCTCTCTATTGAATCAAGTGTTTCAAGAAAACCAGTCTCTTTATATTTTCCAGTTACATGTATTTTGTTTTACTGACATATCTTCTAGAAAAGTACTTGTTAATATAAAACGATGTTCCTTTATTTAATGTTTTGGAATGTAAGGAAATTATCCAGAAATAGAAATAATATGAGCCGCGTCACGACAAAACCAACATAATTGATTTGCGACCAACGTGGATCCAGACCAGCCTGCGCATGTGCGCAGTCTGATCAAGATCCATGCTGTCCGCTTACAAACTCTATAATAAGTAGAGAAACTGATAGCAAACAGCATGGGTCCTGATCAGACTGCGCGGATGCGCAGGCTTGTCTGGATCCATGCTGGTCGCAAACGCACTATGTTGGTTTTGTCGTGACGCGGCTCATATACTTGCATGATCTACTAAGTGTGACCAGTGGTCTCCATTTGAGTTCAATCCCACAATTCAATTCAACACGCTTCAAAAATTGAAATAATTAATTTTCTCCCAGTAAATTTTCATCGTATGTCGGCTTTGTCCCAGCAGTGTTCTCGGCCAAATATATCACCGTATTGTACCGTTTAATGTTGAATAACCTGTACATTACTATTCTATAGCAATGATTAAATAACATTGATTTGATACTTTATATCAACTTCATCCTGTACACTCATGTTTTATTCATTTGATGATTGGTGAATTTGATTCTGTACAATAATGTTACATTCATTTGACGCCCCTTATCAACTACGTCCTGCACAATTATGTTATATTCATTTGCTGCCCAATTAATTAGATCCTGTATAATTATATTGTATACATTTGATGCCCTATATCAACACTCATGTTGTATTCATTTGATGTCCGGTCAACTACATCTAGTTGTACTCATTTCTTATTGTTCTAGGCAGAAATATTGAGAAGAAAGAGGACATAAAGTTTCAAAATGTTACATACAGTTAGTTATACAAACAGGAAATAATTATATCAGTGTTCGTTCCGTGATAAAACGTACATTCTTATTTATGCTTTAAAGCGATATAGCTTACATTTCATAAAATGAATAAAACACAAAACTATGCGATCGTTTTCAGCATGACAAATTAAGGAGAAAAAAAACGCACTTTTTGACTGATACATTTCATTTGATTTAACGACTTCATGTCGTGTCTCATCACTTTGTTAAGAAAATTACAATTTAAACACATTTACAATTTACATAACCGATTTCACAATTAAAATCTTTCTAGTCAGCAATCTTATTTATACATGTATCCAGTTTTGTTATCAAAGACAATAGATAATGCTGATCTCATGTATATGCAACGCATGTCCTGATTGCTGTCTGCCCGTCTGGACTGTCATTGGTCACCTGATTTATTGATATTGTCAGCTGAAAGAAAAATTATATGATACATGTATAATAATTTTCAACTTCAAATGCCACGTATTTGTTGTCTTTTTGAAAATAACAGGTTGTATTTATTTTAGTGACGTCTCTATAGGCTCGCCGTTATATCTGCACGATCATTGTTCATGTCATCATTTAGCGTTACAGAAACGTCACGTGAAGAATGATCCGCAGATTTTGACATCGTATGATGGAGCCTATGTCCGTCACTTTCAATCGTGTTTTTCTCTGTAGAAATGGTTTCTTTGCTGAGTCTCTGGCGGTGCATGAGCACGTAAACGCCAAGGTTGAGACATCCGCCTATGTTTGAAAAGGTTGTAACGAAGTGAAAGATTGGTTGCGGGATATTTTCATCAACCAATCCCCAAACGCCGTACAACGCCATGGCCCACCATTGTATAAAGAACGCGGCCACGAATAGCGACATAGCTCGTGCTGCACGATGCGAGGCTCTCATTGATGCTGGCATGTGATGCACGGACTTTTCAAATTTATCTGCTTCATCACGAATACGTTTCCATGTCAAGATGTAAAGAATTGTGTTGATTATCACAATCAGTAGAAGTGGAATTGTCGTAAAAAAGATGTTCGCGATCTTCCCTTTTACGCCGTCAAAATAACAACTGAAAATTGGATAAGATTCACAAAACTGATTAAATAAACATGTTAAAATAATTCAGTTAAATCTCTAATGTTTAAATTATAAAATTTGCAGTCAGCTTAATTTATGCTTTAATTGAAAATTCTAAAAAAGATTAACTCTTTACCTTACTAACAAAAAAATTTAAAGTATATGTTGGATGATATAAGTGATAAATAACAATGAATAAAGAGAGCTGATTTCATATACATATTGTCAACAGTATAACCTTCGCAATACAAAACAAGTCATTTAAACAACTTACAATGATCCATTAGTTCCGAGCTGACCCATGGCTCCAGCGATAGTCGCGCCAAGAAACGGGGCACCAAACGTCCATAAAAGGAGTTTCCAGTCACGTTTCCCAAAATTCAAATGCCTATGAAAGTACATCAAAATAAATGCATTTATTGCGACAATGTTCACCATTAGGTTTTGTGACGTTACGAAAACTGCTAAATTGAAGCCATAGTATTCACAAAGTTCCTTCGGGTACACGTGGTCACGGACTATCACTATATGCATGTGGTCTGTGAAATGTGACACGTTAAAAAGCCCGTCACAAATTGCCAGGTAAACGATAAATCGTTCGCTCGTCGCCCATGTTTTATAGAACATGTAGTACTTCTTTCGTTTAAAAGACAAAATAATAGCAATCAATGCACACGTGAAACTCGCACAGATACAAATGATGGCGGGAATATGGATGAAGTAAAAAGTTCCATTGTCGACGCCATATAACGGTATGTCATATCCATTACGTAAAATATGCTCGTCATCATTTGATGTAGCATTTGACGTGATGTTAATATCTTCCTGTGCAGATGACATTGTGTAATGATATTTTTAACTTGTATATATTAAACAAGTGATTAACCTATGTAAGTTCCATAGCAATAAGTGTGAACGAAATAATTTTGTAGTAAAGCGGGTAGCTCTTGAAAGAAACTGTGGTTTTGCTATACTGTATATACTTCCTAGTTTCATGTCAAATATATTCTTTAAAAGTACATACGGAAATTAAATAAGATATGATCTAATCTTTACTGTTTACAGAATGGTGTTAATCACCGATATTGTAGTAACCGTTTTTATGGTTTACAATGAAGTCATTTCTTTATTGGCAAATAGTGGTTAAAAGGTAAACATCAAGGCCAAGTTAGCCTCTAAATTGTTTTTTTTTTTATTTTGCATTTTTATTTTCTTTCCTTAAGAAACATTTTTCCTTTCCTTAAATAATGTCATTATATATGTATCAATGTCGGAAATGAAGAATGGCATAATGATAAACGTAATTCATCGAACTGTAGTTGCATGTGTTTGAAATGTGTCCGTATGTCCTAAGAAATTTAATCTACAATTAAAAAAAAGCAAACAAACACTAACTTATATAAAAGGCATAGTTAATGTATACTTCAAATGATACTATTTCCTTTGTGCTGGGTATATCTATGTTCATCACATAAAGATCTTAAGGTAGACGTTTTATCCCATGCAATTCTACATGTACATAAAATATGAGTTCCTTATAAGCAATAATTCCTTATAAGCGTGTTTGCTATAACCGTATACGTGCGTATATTGTGTTAAGAAGGGCAAAATTCGGGTTTAAAAAAATCTTTTGTTTAAAAGATTTTTGATACTATAATATTATGGCAATATAAAAACTTCCTATTTGAGAAAATATGAAATAACTTCATAGATTGACCACTGCCGTACGCGTGTATATAGTTTATATAAATTATCCAATGAAAATCGAGGTTTCAAACGTGCAGAATGTGTCTTATAATCAGAAATTTGCTAAAACCGTGTTCGCTATATGAGATGTTAATTGTATATACAGACTTTGTAAATAAGGTTGATGATAAACTTACATTATCAGCTAAATTACAAGAAAATGGAAGAGAGATGTGGTGGCCTATATGTGTAAAGTGACCACGTCTCATGTGATCGTAGGCTAAGTCTAGTCTCTTAAGTATATCAGAGTCACGATCGACCAGCTACGTAACTACAAATATCGCTTCTTGTTTCGGTTTTATTTTGTGCTAGAAATCTAAAACTTTGTAATTGAAATAAAATTAGCTATTTAAATATTTTGTTTCCGTATTTGACAATGATAGAACATTTTTCTAGCTTCAAATTATGGAAGTCCCACCATAGGAAAAGATGAAATATATGACAGCTGCATCCTTTTTACCAGTTCTAATTCAGCTTTGCCTCAGTCTTATAGTTCTTTTTAAACCTGCTTTTATCTTATATCTATAAATTTGCACTTTAACAGCTATTCCATTCCCAGACAACGAGCCAGCTGCTTAGTGTAATCGATAACGATTTTGAAGTAGTATGATGTTGATGTAGATAGGGCCTCATTGACAAGTTATAAAATGGTCTCAATGTTACTATTATTTATAAAGTGTTTTAAAATGTTTGATATTTATCATTTAATTTCTCCAGTTAAAATATAATTGTGCCTCTCGTTTCTGTTCCTATCCTTTTATAATTTTAGGGAGTTAGATTGCCTGTGTTTAATGTTCTTTAGGTTTATTCTGACGGTGCGTTCATAAATACTCGCCATTCCAATTTGTTTGTCCTACTTCATCTAATAATTGCAACTTTCTTAAAGTAGTTTAAAATACCATACTCTGTTGAAAATACATTGTTTTCAAATACAATCTGCAGATATGTTTTCCATTGGAACGTTTGCATGGCTGATGTGTACTGTTTGGGTATCACTGGGAGCTCTCTTTGTTAGCTACCCATCACTGACCCCTGCTATTATCCTTCACCTGTATGTATATGGTAAAATCAGAAAGACTGATAACATCAAAAAAGGAAACAACAATTTTTTACTTCCAAAGAGGTAAGAAAAACGTTTTGAAACAATTTCTTTTTGCCTGATAGGCCTATTGTTTTTGTCTGTGCTGATAGGCCTATTGTTTTTGTCTGTGCTGATAGGCCTATTGTTTTTGTCTGTGCTGACTGGGACATAAGATAGGCCTATTGTTTTGGAAAAGAGTCAACTCGGCCCTATACCAACTCGGCACGGGTCAACTCGGCACGGGTCAACTCGGCCCACTTTACAAAAATATATATAACGTATTAACTTTGCTTTGCATGTTGTTAAGGTAAATTAATAATGAGAAATATCTTATTGTTATATAATTATACCACGGATTTATATATAAATCCGTGATTATACTTCTGCCGAAATAAGTACATTTAGATATTTTTAATTTATTTGTTTGCAGATAAAATTAATATAGATCGATCTAATAAAAATGTGTTTCCTTAGAGGCATTTTGTTTGTTAAGTAATATTCAAAAAAATATTAAACAAAAACGTGTTTACTTCATATCATAAGCTTCTAATTAATTGCAGGTGGTCACTATTCAAATGAATGAATGAGTCAATCATAATTATCACCTAATTAATCGGTATCCTTAACATACTCACTGATTGATAATAATAGCCCATAACAATATATATTTCAAAACATTGTTTGACACTAAAGGTATTAAAGTCAGAAATACAGTGAGATGTACGCAATCGGTTATCTTTACTCGCAATTCTACTGATAAGAAAAGCCTGTCTGCTGCTAATTCGTAAACTATCAATAGGTGTATTACAAATAATTACAATAATTACAATAAATAATGATAACACAAACCTAAATATTAATAATTGAAAAGTGGGCCGAGTTGACCCGTGCCGAGTTGGAATAGGGCCGAGCTGACTCGGGGGCCGAGTACGTTTTAGGGCCGAGCTGACTCGGATTCATTGTTTTTTGTCTGTGATGCATAATATTTGTCAAGCCTACTTTCTTTGAGCTCAACTTTAACTTAGTCATCACTTTTGGCGAAAAGTTTGGTGTATGTGCATCTGTGCAACAGCTAGTACATCCTGGTGTCCATCCAGATAAGTCTGGTCTATATCTTGCTATAAGTTGGTACAAATGTTCACCATGATGGGTTGGTGTGCCGCACACAAAACTTGGGTTCGCCGCTCAAAGATCAAGGTCACACTTGGGGGTCAGGGCAAAACCGTTTCCAGTGTGTTACTTCTACATGTGTTGCAGATTTTCAATATAACTTGAGACAAATGTTCTCCATAGTGAGGCAGTGTGTCACACAAAACAAAAAATTCAGGTGTCTGTGGCAAAGGTCATGGTCACACTTGGGGGTCAAACGTCCAGTTCAGGCTCCGATTCGGCATCCCCTTCATGCATTTTTTGGTAGTAAGGCCTGTTTCCTTTATGCACACATTGGAAAAAAACTGGCTGCTTACAAATTCTTCACTAATTGTAAATGAAGCAAAAACCAGAATAACGTTTCTTAGGTTAAACCAAACTTGATTCTCCTAAAGATGATACCTTTGAAAACAACTCTGCTCTACTTGATTCACCAGTCAACAATACAATAAAATATTTTATTAGCCTCCTAGCCTATAGGCTATGAAATGCTTTTCCTTCTACATTTCAAAGGAACACATCAACTTTGTACAATGCTAAGACAAATCTCCTTGTTACAAAATATGGGAAAAATGTTGTTCAAACAGTGACACATACAAACAAAAATGGAAGAAGTGGGGCAAATAATTGTTAAAGTCATTTAATAAACTACTATGAATCAAAAAACTAGATATAACTAAAAGTCTATCCAATAAGAATGCTTGTTAAAGATAAGGCACGAAGAAAATACTGACAAATACAGAACTGAGAAGATGTCATCAATAATTAAATGTTTTAAAATAATTAAAATATCCCAAAGGTCAAATAACAGAATAAAACACTCATTTGCAAGTATAGCTTCTATAAACATGGATGGATTTTAATATAACTTAGCACAAATGTTCTCCATATTGAGTTGAGTTGTCTCGCACAAAATAAAGGTCACAGTGAAGTTCACAAGATTTCAAATGTGAAATAAAATAATTAAAATTTGTTTGATGGGGCTATTTCTTGCTTATGCTTTGAAGTATTATGCTTAGTAGTCAGAGGAGTTTTAAATTATTCTGCCAGCTTGTGGTGAGGTTGACTTAGTTTTCATTTTTGGCAGTTTGGTGTATGTTTGTCTGTCAGTCGGTGCATCCGTCTAGATTTTTTTTGATATATATAGAACTTTCGTGACCAGGTGTCGTGTGATTATTACACGGGATATTTTTACTATAAGCTGGTTTAGTTATCACCCTATCCTTTTGTTACGCCTTTTGTTACTTGCTTGCTTACGTCAACAGCTTGTAATTTTGTCATGGAATTGACACCTATTCATGTGTCGAAGTTCCGATGTGTCGAAGTTTTTACGCAAGTCCCTTCAACTTCAACTTACCGAAGTTCTACTGTTCTAACATGAAAATTGTGTATAGTTAAAATAGTATACAGTAGACCTTTTATTTCACCTATTAAAATTCTTTAATCTGTCATTTTTCAGTTATTTCAGCCACTTTTACTTCTCTGGTATTATCTGCATCACATCATCATTATTGATGTGTCTGTATGTAACATGCGGTGGTGGACAGTGGCCTGAATTTGTACACACCATCATTGCTGTCATGAGATACCCTGTACCTGAGAGTAAGTTCTGCTTTTATAAATGAATATTTATTGCCATTCTTGATGTACATGAACATGTATTTAACACACATTATGCCTCAGAAACAATTAAAATTTTACTTTTTTAAAAAAGAGTAAACTTAAATTTTGGAATGTTTAAATAATGGTTGAGCATGTTAGATGCTTTTTACTGGAAGACAGTGGGAAATAATTTGTCATAAAAGTAGCAAAATCACAATGTTAACAAAGTAGTATTTTGACTTCCATACAAAATACTAAATCATCACTCAGTCTCTAACTGTACTGATTGCAAAAAAGATGGTTCAGGTAATTGGCAAATGAGTAACTTGTGGAAACTATAAAATTACACTAAAAGTAAAGTTTTTAAGAAATGAAACTAAAAGCATTTCTTGGGCATACTGGACCTTTAACCTACTGTAGATGCACAAAATCTACAATAAAACTAGCTTGTTATAAGCATTAAAATTTCTTTATAAGCTTGTTTGAAGATTTAGTTTGATTAAATGTCCTGATTAACAATAACACTGTCATCATCAACACATTCATTTATAAATTATTAGAGACAGATTTTGAAATACCTGCACTTTTTATTCAACCATTGGATATTTGTGATTAATGTCTAACAGAATGATGATTTAAAGTTTGATTGCCCTATAAGTTCAGCCTTCTTCCTTGTTGATAAGCATATCAGGAAATTTTTTCTGTTTGTTTTCAGGTTATGGGGACATGTTCTCTAACATTGTGGTTTTGACCTGTGCAAGTTGCCAGGTATTGAGAAGGTTTCTCGAGTGTCTATTTATCAGTGTTTACTCTCCTGATAGCAAAATGAGCTTCGTCATCTACTTTGTTGGTGTGGCATTCTATACAGCTCTTCCTATTACCTCCCTTTCAGGGACTAATCTTAATGATGCTTTCAAATGTGAAGGTAAGTTTGCTGTCTGGTGAGATAGTTTGTATGATAAACATGTCTTTATTTCAATTAATCTGGTATTAATTAACAATATAATTTGTGGTATATACATGAAGCATATAGCACAAAAAAATATTAACATGATTTACATGTACATTTGTTTTCAAATCATTTGACCCAATTACAATGTCATTATATTCGATGCTATTGAAGTACTTGTATATGTATGTAGAAGAGGAAACAATTACAAGTATGATTAAAAAAATGCAAACAGGAAGAAAATGAGCATGACACTTATTGAAGTTATTGTTATCTTGTCTTTGATAATTTACTTTGACAACTATAAATTACTACAAATGAATTTATGAAATGAGGATATGTGATGAAATGAATTTGACATATATTGTCAGGTCTTACAATCATTTTCCAAACCCAAAAACTTGAAAAATATCCCTAATTAACTTGCCTAAGGTTGGGTTTATGTTTTCCTAAACTATAAAAATGTTTACATAATTCAAAAACTTGTGTAATTTCCTATATTTCTAAGTAATATTGTGAACATTTTTTTTTTGTAAGCCTATCGGTATGAGCTGTCTGTTTTAAGATGTTCTAATAACATCTTAAAACAGACAAGCAGTAGATATTTATCAGTATAAAGACTAAGAGTCTTTTTTTTATATTTTTAGAATTACTTCAGTATGTTTGTTGGAACCATATTGTTGGTGTTGCTCTATTTATCTGGGCATCATATCAGCAGAGAAGAGTTGCAATCCAGTTTGCTCAACTTCGCCAGAACAAATCAGGTATATTACTATCATTATCAAACCTTCCTCTAGGTTTTGGTTGTAATGTCCTTTCAGGTTTGATTTTGCTAGTGGTAGATGTTTTCTTTTCACCATAACCTGCTAGCCACAACTGACTCTACCCATGAAACCAGCACTGGCCAAAATGAGTCTGCTTGTCTGTGTCATCTGATCATGGTCTACAATGTTAGCTATTCAGTCAGTATATTTTTTTTTCCACTAAAAATAATGAATGATTCAGTCCAGAATGAAAGATGGACAAGTCGAATGAAGTTATTAATGGTAAAGGAATGTTAAGATTTATTTGTGCTTTATCACTATCTCTACTTGGAAATAGTAAAATTAAATACTTCAGTTACTTAAGTTTATAAATTAAGGCTCCTTATTAATTGTGCATTATGTAATGCTGGAGGGGAAATAACCATTGTAGTTATCGTGTATGCATCTTTTTACTTTGGGTACATTTAATTCAGTTAATTTGTCTGATTTGTTTCTTGAAACTTGTTTAAGTTTGTGAAAGAAGTCAATTGTTTATACAGAATTTATTTTAGTTTGATTGTGTAGGAAGCTGTAAGTCAACAAAAACACTCTGGAATTTGTTCCTGGAACCAACCAGTACTGAGCAATGAATGTAAAGTTTCTTTCTCAAGGAGACAACGACTTGTCCCTGATAGGGTTTGAACCCAAACTGCTATAGATCCATAAAAGTACTTGTCTGATGCATTGACAACTTTGCCATGCTGCAGATTCAAAGGAACCAAAACAATTTCTTCTGTGCGCAACTCCTTCTACATTTCTCAACGGATTTTGACCAAACTTTCACAGAAGCTTTGTCATCAAGTGCCCTGGCGTATATTGTCGGGGTTTTGCGATTGGATAATATTTGACCTAATTATGGCCCTTTGTTTTTTTTCCTTATATAGAATATATAGTGAACATTTTCTTCTGTGCTGAACTCCCTCTACATTTCTAAACGGATTTTGACAAAACTTTCACAGAAACTTTGTCATCAAGTGCCCTGGTGCATGTTGTCAGGGTTTTGTGATTGGATAATATTTGACCCTAATTATGGCCCTTTGTATTTAGCTCGACTATTCGATAAGAATAAGTAGAGCTATTGCAGTCACCCTAGCGTCGGCGTCAGCGTCTGCGTCGGCGTAACCACTTATGTTAAAGTTTTTGTAATAGTTCAAATATTTTCAAAGTCCATCGACATATGGCTTTGAAACTTTGCACACTTGTTCACCATCATGACCCCAACCTGTAGACAGTAGGAGGTAACTCTATCAAGCATTTTGACAGAATTATGCCCCTTTTTCGACTTAGAATTTATGTTAAAGTTTTTGTAATAGTTCAAATATTTTCAAAGTCCATTGACATATGGCTTTGAAACTTTGCACACTTGTTCACCATCATGACCCCAACCTGTAGACAGGAGGAGGTAACTCTATCAAGCATTTTGACAGAATTATGCCCCTTTTTCGACTTAGAATTTATGTTAAAGTTTTTGTAATAGTTCAAATATTTTCAAAGTCCATTGACATATCGCTTTGAAACTTTGCACACTTGTTCACCATCATTACCCCAACCTGTAAACAGGAGGAGGTAACTGTATCAAGCATTTTTTTTTACTATCAAGGACTAAGAATAGTCGAGCGTTGCTGTCCTACCGACAGCTCTTGTTTTCCTTATACAGAATATATAGTGAACAATTTCTATCGTGCGCAACTTCTCCTACATTTCTCAACGGATTTTGACCAAACTTTTACAGAAGATTGTTATCAAGTGCCCTGGCGCATATTGTCGGGGTTTTGTGATTGGATAATATTTGACCTAATTATGGCGCTTTGTTTTTTTTCCTTATACAGAATTATCAATATATAGTGAACAAATTCTTCTGTGCTGAACTCGTCCTACATTTCTCAACGGATTTTGTTCAAACTTTCACAGAAGCTTTGTCATCAAGTGCCCTGGCACATATTGTCGGGGTTTTGTGATTGGATAATATTTGACCTAATTATGGCCCTTTGTTTTTTTTCCTTATACAGAATATATAGTGAACACTTCTTCAGTGGCAATTCCTCCTACAATATTCATGTTTTACATTGCACATAGTTACATTGTTTGTTGCTTGTATTTGTATTTCAAATACAACATATTTATCTACAATGGTGATAATTGAAAACCTGGTTTCATGGCATTGCCATGTTTCTTGTTTTTCAAGATAGAATGAAACACTGTTATATATTTTGTACTGTTATGATTATACATTAATACTATTGTGTGATAAAAGAATAACTAACTTGTAAACATTTTGATAATTTCAGGGAGAGTTCATAACACAAAGCATCACATTCCGTATGGAGGATTATTTAAATATGTGTCATGTCCACATTACTTCACAGAAATACTCATATATCTCTCGATGAATATCATCTTCTCATTCAGAAACACTATGATGATCTCATTGTTCATATTTGTTCTAGCAAACCAGGTGATTTCAGGCTACTTTAGTCATAAATGGTACAAAGAGACATTTAAAACTTATCCTAAAAATAGAAAATCAACCATTCCTTTTATATTTTAAGAAGGTATTTGTTCATAAAAACTCACGTCATGTAAGATGAGTACATGTACTTTTAGAGTATTTAAAATTTGATATTAATAAAGGATATTTGTTTAGTTCAGTGTAAGATCGGAATATATTTCACCGAGTGAGCACCAAAAGGTATATTTCACGAGTGGCGCAGCCACGAGTGAAATATGAACTTTTGGTGTTCACAAGGTGAAATATATTTCGATCTTACACTAAACTAAACAAATTTTCTTTTTATTACATGCAAAGAAACGTTTTTAAAAGACATTAAACCTAATATTGAATGAAAAGCGCGCCAAATAATAATACAACGCGACGTCATTTACGACGTCACGTCATTGAGTTGGTACCCGGTACTGTGCACGCTGGTATTTCACTGAAACAACGTGAGGGGCTTAAATTCAAAACAGTGAAATTATCAAAGTGGTAATTTCACTGTTTAAAACAGTGAAATTACCAGTTTTATATCACTGATATATTTCTATAAACCACCGAAAAGCATGTAATAAAGGTCTATATTTATTTGATAACACAAATACTCCAGTCTCTGTAGTAGAGGCCAGTTTCATTTTACGCATTTTTGAAAATAAGTGTATGTGCGAGAAAATGCATTGTTGTACTTTTACTGTTATATATATGACACAAAGTTTCTCTGTATACATGTAATATAAATTTTATTATTGTGTTGGTTTCAAAATAAAACTGAAGCTGTTATGGGCGCTGGTTGGCAGAGATGTCATCATGCCATTGCTTAGTTGTAAGACATGGGGCATTATCCTGAAAGCAATTAAAAATTATATATTTTTGAGTTATGCCTCTTTTCTAGTTAGAATTTCTGATAACTAACAAAGGCCTTTATTGGCATACATTCCAATGGTGACAAGGCATATCTGAAGAACAAGGGACATAATTAAGTGATCAGTTATTCATCTGCTAAAGCAGTTAAGTGCAGAACAGTATAGTAACATTCTAGAATTAAATATTTTTACTTGTTGACAGATGAGCATCGACTATCACTATGCAATGATGTTGTATTTTTTTTGTCACAAATATAATAGCTGCTTCTTGAAATTACATATGCTCAAATTATAGTGTGTTTTATATTTGTTCATTTTTAAAGAATTTATTTTGCTTTTTGTATGCAATTGTAATAACATTTTAATGTAACTGAATAAAAATAAAATGAACACCAGTCTTTTCCTTGTTTGTCTGCTATGGTTTTTGAACAAAAATTGTATTTCATTTCAATATGTTGCCAGTTTGTATTGAATCAACACCTCAGAAGTTATTAGGCAGCATAATGTGGCCTCAAAAATTATTTACAATTATTCGTTCTTGTAAAACCAAATTTTTTTTAGCAACATTAAGGAATCTTCTATTTCTAGTTATATGGGAGAAGTAGTGAGTGATTATATTGGTTGAATCTTTTGACTGAATTGTGACCTTAACCTTTAAATATGGTGTGTCTGATATGTTACTTTCCTACTGGTCATTTCAATGATAAAAACATTTGACACTAGAATACAAATTCTTGGGATATAGAGTACTGTTTTTCAGACAGACATACAACAGGAAAATTACCCTATATGTGATTGTCATTGCACATTACCTGTCCCAATAAATATAAGTGCATTTTTATTATTTTGTACAACTACTTTTCACTGGTTTCAACTTTCAATGATCGGTCATCTATAAACACGTCAGTTCTGAAAAATGTATTGGGGAATAATTATTACATCACACAAAAAATAACTAATTTTTGCAATTTTCCAAAAAACAACGAAAGAAATCACAGAAAAACAAAGTTTTGAAATTTTCCAAAAAAAAAAAAATCAACTTTAAACTAACCAATTGTATCAAAATAATGAATGGCTGTGCATTGTAAGTCTAAGCGAACAGATTCAAGTATAATCTTTCAATTAAAATATTAAGAATTCACTGGTCTTATTACCATTGTTCATTGATTTTCTCAGATTTTAAATCAAATATTCCTGGAACATCTTCCATGCTTGATTCAAAAGAATAAAAACAAACACAAAACTTTTTTTCCGCAAATTATATTAAAATCATAGCAGTATAACAGAAAATCTTGCTTACAAGAATGAATGTAATCATACAAGAAATGGAATTCATAGGAAAAATTAACAATCAAATACCTCACCCTCATTATCATAAATAATTGTTGAAGATCTATTTAAATTAAAGTTCAATTTTTAACTCTAGAACAAACAATACAAAATGGGGGAGAATGAAAAATAACCCTATTTGCTATTTGCACTCGGCTAGCTACTTCTCATTATATTAAGAAAGTTCAGCAAATTTATTATCTAAAACTAAAATACTGATTTCGCGTAATTTCGTGGGCATGAAATTTCGTGGTATTATCACTAGGAACATTATCGCGGGTTCTTAAATTCGTGGACTATTTTTCCAAAAGGTAAAATGTAAATAATGAGATGGGAACAAAAATTACAAAAGAGAAAATGAAATTTCATTGAATCTGAAATTCATGGATTGACCTATCCACAAAAAACATGAAAATTAGTGCCCAACGTAATATAACGATTTTGTAGTAATTATAAATAAATATACTACTCACCACATGTACTGTACAGTAAATAAAAGAAACAAAACAGGTACCTAGTTATTTCTGACAAATAGCTATGAATTACATTTTATCAGTCTCAATAAAAAACATGTGTTAAAAAGATACAAGCTTGGCTGTTTAGAATAAACATGCATATAAATAAATACACAAATTTGTGACTTGTTACCATTTACTTGAATCTAACAAAAAAGTGTCTGTGGACATCTCTTCTTGTCAAACATATACATTATTTTCAATTCACACTTATCCTAACATTATTCTAAATACATAACAAAATCCTCAACAAATAAAGTACACATATATATACAATAAAAGATGAACAAAATATAAAAATGAAGATCAAAATGTAATGAAGAAATATCTAATATTGTGAAAATAAAACTACAGTCTACTCCACTTACAACGAGATCGGTTTTAACAAGATACCGCTAAAAAACGTAAATTCTACTGTGTCCCGGCCTTTTTCCTTTCATTTTATATAGTTTATAGTGAGATTGATTTTAGGGAGATACCGGTTACAACGTACATATATTCGACGTCCCATGCATATTTTTCAGAATTTTAACGAGGTCATGTCTGCATCAGTTTGTCACCTTGAGAAAAACAATGGTGACCAAAAACAAAGGGCAATTAAGGAAGAAATTGAAAGTTTTGAGAAATTAGTGCTTTGTCAGCCCTCCGCGCTAAATTGTTCTTTAAGCGATGAAATGTCATAACAAAACAATTTTATTGAGTGATAAGCACAAAGGAAGCGGTTAATTTCTTGCAGTGTTATTTGGTGTTCATGAGAAATACATTGCGCGACTTTTGAAAACGAACTTTAAAATGTACATATTAATAAAAACCCACATGGTTGGACGTAGTATTAAGTGTTTTTATATGTTTTGTTTAAATTCTATGATAGCTAGATATATTTATATACATGTATACTTCTGAGTGCAAAGAGTTACCTCCCATTATGTACTCTTTAAAAAGGATGTTCGCGAAAGTAGAAATAAATGATGCTCGACGGTTTCGGATTCTACAATTTGTTATGTCCCGGTCATAACGAGACCCGATTATAAAATGGAATTATGCGAAGTCCCAACGATCTCATTGTATCTGAAGTGCACTGTATATTTGTATACCACAATTCAGAATGTCTGTATTTCCACAATGTTTTCATGATCATCTGCCTCCTCAGGAATGTTATTTGAAATTCAGAAAATTATATTTCTTATCTACTTGCACTAAAAAATATAAGAAAGTTATATCAGACAATTTCAGTATTTATAGTCAACTACATGACTAGTCTCTAATATATCAGCACTAAGTGCTGATATACTAAACAAGTCTTGTTTAGTATCAGTGGTCGAATATTCTATTTCTTCAATGATTTGATTTAAACAATAAAGTTGATAAAACTTCTCATCACAGTCCAGACATCCAGTTCAATCTTTATATACAGGTCTTCACTTGAACAGGAAACTGCAAAATATACAAAAATATTTCATTAGGATATGACTTAAAGATGTACTAGGCTCATCTTTGAGTAAAATATTTTTGCTTCAGAAATTTATTGAAATCTATAAAATTCAAACTGAATACGACTTATTTGAATGAGAGAACACATAAAATGTGTAATAAAAGCTTCATTCAATATTACCCGCCAAGTAAAGTTGGTCATTTCTTAAAAAAGCTGCCAGTTTTTTTAACGACACTATGTATTCATACAGTGTGTAAACTTTAAATCATAACATATTATGTAGTTTAATGTGTACTTAAAACATGCTTATTTTACATTTACAAAGAGACTGTGTAGAAATTATCAATAATTTCAACTATCAAATTTGAGCCTAGTATATCTTTAATAAATTTGGTTACAGGATTAAAAAAAAAATTTTGGTTGGGTTTAATATGGCACAAACACAATATTTTGGCAACTTTCCAGCTTGACTGGTGGAGGAAGATCTCGGGTGCCACTCTGTCCATTATTTTAAGCACAAATGGGCACTTAAGAAGAACCACTGACACTCTGTAAGGTGCTGGATAGCTTCCTCACATGAGGAATCCAATGATGCTGGCGCAGCTCGAAACTACAGTGGTGAGAGGCAATTGATTACAAATCAATGACCTAAACCCCTCTGCCATGGATACCCCTGGTTACATGTATATTATATTAGCAGTATTTCTAGTAGTTTAAAAAACATTGGAATATTAAAGATACAATGTATCCATATTTTAAATACATTCTATCCATAAATTTGAGAAAAATGGTTCAGGTATATTTTTTATTCATAACTCAAGTAAACTATAATATGATTTAATTTACATTAAAGTAGCAAAAAAAGTCATGGCCGGCAAAATCAATTGTCAGTATTGCCCAGGTTGTCCCACAGCCTGTACGACCACTTTGTGAAAGGTGGGCTAAAAATGCTTCACATAAAAACGGCAAGTAAGTCAAAATCAGATTCTGCCGGCCCTGAAAGTATTAACAGATTTAAGAAAAACATACAAATAACCTTTGAATGAAAACAAGGCCAAACGTTCTCAACTTTACACCTATCCTAAAAGGACAATGTCAACAGACACTCCTTCTATCCCAATTTTTAACACTTTGCTAGGAACTTTATTTTAAAAATTATAATTAAAATTTTTTTTGAAAGAAAAAACTTTTAATCCCCACCTATATGGGGTATCCTGGTTTTTTCGAAACTAAATTTTGGCAGAAGGAAACTGAAAAAAAACTGTTTCACATCCAAGGCCTACCAGAGCAAATACTGAAACAAAAGTTTATGGTTAATAAATCATAATATTTCTAGAATGTCTTACTATCTAATTCTGAATTTATCAAAGGGACACTACTCTACTTTCACAATTAGAAATGAACTGCATAAATCTTAATTCACTTCTCATAACCAAGTTGTTTTTAATTTAAAATCTCAAATAAAGTAAATTGACACTTTTAAAGTACTATAGAAAATGCTCAGCTTTTATTGGAAGACAAAGACACAAGTCTTTTTGTATTATTTCAGGGACAAGAGAGCACCTGGGTAAAAACAGCAAACATTTTAACTACACAGTACTTGTATCAAATATTACAAATGATTTTAATTTACATTCTTAGATATATCACTTAACTAAGTACCATTAATTATATTGGATATAACTAAGGATATATAAAATAGAACTTCATGTAAATACATTACCTCTCTTTTTACCAGGATCTCCCTTTAATGTGTTAGCTTCACTCATAAGAATGAACCCTCCAACAATTGCAGCATCTACACAATAGTTAAGGTGTTTACAATGTATTATTAATGCAGGTAAAACACATTTAATCTATATACATAGATACAAAATGTTAATACAAAATATCAACTTGGTATCTGAATTACCATTTTTTCCTACTTTAAAAAGTCATTTGAGTATTCATTTGTATTATTTACAATGTAGAAACTTTTGGCAACTATTATAAACTTCAGTCAAAGGGAGACTATTAGGGCATGTCATAAACCATTCAAAACTGCCTTGGCTTTTATCTATAATAACCTCGGAAACAATACGGATTGAAAGTAGTTCTACCATGTGGTTTCAGATGTAAACAAAAACAGAGATAATGTAAAACGAATGTATATATTTGACATCTAATGTCTGTTCTGGTACTCTTATGCTTGAAAATATGTCTGATATAAATATGCCCACTGATGTTCAATTTTAAACAAATCCGACTAAATGTCAATATGTTGGTTTTTTGTACTTTCGGTTTCTACAACCATAAAAATAAATATATAAATAATGTGTTGTTTGCTTTTGTACCTATGAATTCACTTATTTTAGGTGGACTTTTACTACACATATTGGAAATAAACTTGTCAACAACTGCCAGCATTAAATTACTATTTGTTTACATGTTTAGTTTCTTAGCGTAGGATAGACCGAAATACCGCATCCATTCTGTGTATTCATACTATTGTGTTCGAGGTCCTTATCCGAAGACTGACGGAAAGGGCCGAGTAGTTGTGATTGGTCATAAACATGTAATTGTTAAAAGGGAGCTTAAAAAGACCAATTAGAAAAACTTCAGTGAAATCAAATCTTTCCTATGTGTCAAAAAACAAATATATTATAAGACATCATGCCATTCCTAAAATTCATGGATGAATTATAATAACATCTGTAAGTGCCTAAATGACTTTCAATGGTCAATATCAAACAGTCAGTGATTTGATGGTTTTGACAATTCACAAAGTTTTTGTTTTAATGGATAAAGGCTATCTAAACAGTTTTTGTTTTGATTTTAAGCAATCAACAAAAATGTTGTGATAGTTTTCACTGTGTTTAAGTCACACAAGAAACAACATCAACCATATTATTTTGACTACCTCAATCACCCTTTTTTCTTTCCTGCTATGTGCAAAAATCTTGTATTACATGCATATTTTCTGTAAAAAAGAATGCTGCAGTGCACAGTGCTTTAAGCGAGGCATCATTTTGCATGTTAAAGAAAAGTTTGCACCTTAATGAAGTACTAATATAACAGTAAAAAATCTTATTGTTAAAGTTCTTTTTCATAAAGACATATTTCAATTATTGTAGCCACTTTCATGCTAAGATCATTTTACAGTCAGTGTGTACAAAAAGGATACTCAGTAACATGACCATGTAGGTCTCAGCAACAAACTGTCCTTGACTAGAACCATGGATATAATGCTGAAATCATTAGTACAACTTGTAAAATAGTTATACAGTGAATATTGTTTTATAAATATCTAAAATTCATATTTTTCTTTCATACAGTTATTATATGAAATAAAGAATGTCACTGTGTCTTTATAAATGATTTCTTTGCAGTCAGTTTTATTTTGATTGACAAATTTTAAATGAATTAAATGTTACAGTAACTTTAAATCAAACTGAATTATACCATACCATGGAACAAGTGTGATGAAATAAAATACATCTCACTTTATTTAGTTTTTTTTTCATATAAAGCATATTAAGATTAAAATATCTCTTTTTTTAGTACATATGTTACTATCATAGGAGCTTAAGTTGACTGCAGAAATGAAAGTAGTGATGTTTCTATATCAAGTGTTTTCAAAAATAGATAATTTACCACAATTTTATCATATTTAACCTGGAATAAATTTGCAGTACAATGATAATTAATGCAACTTTTCTTTTGTCAATTTTTTAGTTACTATAAATGCATAAAGAATTGAAAGATATTTTCATTATCAATGAAATTTAAACTTACAATAGCTCCTGTGCTTGGATTTTTATGCATCACTGGTGGGCTTCTGATATGATTCCACATTTGTCCAGATGTCATTGCAAATATAACAGACTGTTAAAGAGATCATACTACAATTTATTGTTAACCTAACTTTTTCTGTTTTAATGTACTGCAGTGATACATAATCATTCAACTTTAAATAAAATTTATTTCAAATTTTCAATCAGTTTCAACTTATTTATTTATGCTCAATAGTAATAAATTTCAAAAAGCTGCAAGCTTATTCAAACAATGTCAAAGTCTGTTTGTGAACTGACCACCAATTGTGCTAAAACATAATGTAACAAACTTCTTACAGCCAATGCCTTGATCTCTTGATTAAGATGCGACCTAACTACTAGATTAAATTTTTCTTTACTGAATGAAGTAAATTACATCTTTATTGGATTATAAACCCACAGCATGCAAGAATTAAAATTAATCTTTTTATTATCCTTATAATTTTTACAGAAAAGGAGAGAACTGTCTGATAAACTCGTAAATATAAATGTGTATCTTACCAGTGCTGCAATACCCCAGAATGTTTTATTGTACAGAAATTCCAAGTTATTTCTCTTTAAATACAGCAATCCTCCGACAAGAGAGAACAACAAGGCTAGCGCCAGTGTACCAGAATAGTTGGGTGGACGGAATATCCGGATCTAGAAAATTGTAATTTCTATATAAGAACATTGTATCAACAGAATTTCATGAACAGTTATTTAAACTATATATATGCAAAAAATCATAAATGCTTCAAAATTATTTAAATTCTACAGATATTGAAACTTGCTATGGCATTTCATATATGCTATGAACACCTCAAATATTATATAATAGTAAAATGAATTGCTTTTAAAAATTTAATTTTAATAGCAATTGACATGTATTAATTTAGTTCAAACCTATAATATTACATTGACTTAACAATAAACATCAAAGATATTTCTTCAGCAACTTCAAGCATATAATGTTTCTCATTTTAACTTCCTACCAACTTAAATAATTCAGTAGCTGTATATATTAGTTTAATATTTAATATTTAGTTTAATATACAGCAAGACTGTAATCCCCATAACCATTTTTCTATTATTTTGTTTTAGAATATGGAATGAGCACTCCATAATAAACTGTTATTATTATATATAACACCAATCCTAAGTATTATATACTAATTCATTTATACATATTTATATACTAATATTTACAGATATATCTGTTCTCTCCTGGACCCATCTGGCAACCTGTTCAGCAGCAAATCCTACCCTGAAATAACAGTTCAATAAATTAGTTTAGCTACATTCATTATTAAAATGTGTAACAGATTTTTTTTTCAAATTAAGACAGATATTATATACATTGTATAATAAATCTTTATAGAGATTTCTTTAAGAAAAAACAAAACAAAACATTGAACAACTAAAATATTGCCAATCCATATATTTTATTTGAATGAGTTGCATTAACAAATTAATCACAACTTAAAAACTGTATACGTCAAACATGTACACCTTAAAATCTGCTGTTACTCACTTATAATATTATAAGGGTTTAAATACTCATATGATAAAATCAATATAGAATGATGCTACATTGTTATACATGGTAAACAAGAATTGACTTCAACTTTTCTTAGTTTTAAAGTGCAGTAGAGAAAGATGTTTAATTTTAATTAGGGAATTGACATGTCAGTCTATAGTTTTGTTATCTCTAAATTAAGTTAAACAAGGTGAGCTGTACAGGTGAACTCTTGGCTTGCAGTTAAATCATAAATTGACATTAAAGTTAAAAAAGTTTTGACTGATTTTTTTTCCATATTTAATATCTACGTTGTAATTACATAGTATTTTTGTATTTCACAAGAAAACCTGAATTTTTTACTACCCTCTATTAATATTTTGAGTCAAATAACTGCACACCAACAGCTCTTTACATATGACTATATCTTGTGCAATAAATCCTTTATTATCATTTGAAAAACCACTTGTTTACAAAATGGAAATAAACAAAGGAAGGAATAATGATTGCTTAACTAAACTTATGGAAGCAGAATAAGACATGTAAGAAAACCCTCTTCTGTTCAATGACACTGTGTTTCAACAATTGTCTAGCTTTATATCTTGATTCAATATGTCTCTTATAATACATGTAACTAATTTTCTTATCTTTTTTTAAAAATATTAACTTGAATAATATTTCAAAATGAACCATGTTGTTGACCTTTGATCTGCAAAAATTTTAAAGTCAAGGCAAAAGGCTCACAAGCAAATAAAGACAATGCTCTTGATCACTTGGCTTCTCTGCAGTTTTCAAGAGGTAGTTTTTATAGTAATCAGAGTAGGTGTGCAATCAAACATAACTAGATGTAGCACTACTTTTCTAGAAAATGTGCATGTAAGCATCATTTTATAAATCTTGCATCCATTGAAATTACTCGAGAAATACAAGCACCAAGCTATGACATCATGAGTGATATACTAACATGACCCTTGCTGAAACACAGGTCAAGAAAATCTTGATATATCCACAGGAACAGACAAGCAGTGTAAATGCTTATTTTTTGCTAAAATTAAGCTCAAGTTGATTACGGTTGGCCTGAATATCTTGAAACATCAAAAGTAAGTCAGAACTTATATAACAATGGTGACAGCTTATCTGTTGCTCTGAATATTAACTAACTACCTATATTCTTAAGGCCAATATATGCTTACTCATAAGATCTGTTTAAAGGCATGAAATCATTCATTTCATATAAAAAACAGTTAATTAATTACAATACACAAGTCATTTGTATGGTTAACTAATGTTAAAGTTTGTACAATAATGTAAAATTAAACATTACTTTTATACTGATGGATTGTTTATGCTATTTTTTGGTTGTTAACTTATTTTATAATTCCATCAAATTTAACTGATCTTTTCACAAAATATGTTTCCTATATGAGAAAATAATTTCAAAAGATAGAGTTTATATTGATATGTGTAAGATACTGAACATTATGAAATATATATGTATATTTGAGCTGTGTCACGACAAAACGAACATAATTCGTTTGCAACCAGCATGGATCCATACCAGCCTGCGCAGTCTGATCAGGATCCATGCTGGTCGCTATCAGTATCTCTACTTGTTATAGGGTTTGTAAGCGAACAGCATGGATCCTGATCAGACTGTGTGGATGCGCAGGCTGGTCTGGATCCATGCTGGTCGCAAACCCATTATGTTGGTTTTGTCATGGCGCGGCTCAAATATGTATATTTATGATACCTGTGAATGTCCATAGTATCAGCCTTCTTTGGCTTTCCTTTAGGTGGAAAATGCATGAACACTGGGGCTGTATTAAGCTTCAACTAAAATCATAAATTTTCAAATTAAAATCTTCAGATTTATTAAAATACTAAATGTTTCATTTACAATCTAACTGTTAAATGTGAAATTAAGAGTAAAAGAACATACTACAAAGCTATAACCCTTCAGACATAGTTTAATATTAATCTTTAGACAAATGCATTCTTGATATATTGTGTTAAAACATAAAAAAGTAATTAAGATCTTTCTTTTAATCACAAATAAAACACATTAGAATTTGATTACTGATTTCTATTTAAGTGTTCAGGAATTAACAATTACTTGCTAAACTCGTGTATTAAACTACTATGTACTTATTCTAATTTGACTTTACTTATTGCTTGTTAAAAAAAGATTTCTCACAAAAATATTGAGAAGATAATAAGAGTATAATGCTGTGGTCACACTGCAAGGATTATGGTTGGCAGAGATCTACATGCCGAGCTATTGTCATCATTTTGAAATCTTAAAGATAAAATTATTTAAAAAACTACCTGCTGGAATACATCTGATCCCTCATCAAAGTCAACCATAGCAAAGAAAAGCTTGTTGGAGAACTGGTTGGAATACCTCCAAGAATTTGCCACGATTGTGTATTCATCATTTGCCTGTCTGCATTGATATAAATGATACTAAATCATATTACACAGACTAAATTCACTAATAAAGGCAGTCCATGCATTTTTTTTTACAATTTCTCAAGAAACATGCAAATCTTAAAATAAATAGATATTGACCTTGTAAAACCTGTATATCAATGAATCAATGTTGGTATATATATGATTTCATAAAAAAAACCATAAATTTTTAATAACTCATACAGTAATTAAACTACCTTAAATTAAAGTTTCTTAATTTTTATCATTTTTCTTAATAAGTGTCACGGTCTACAACTGTGACAAGTGACCAGAAAAATCAGACAGCAGATCTGTGGTATGTTATTATGAATTCCTGCCAGATTAAAAGTGTCATTTTTCACACCCTGTGACATTTAGTTCCTAATCAGGGATCTGTGAATATGTAAAGCTCTGAATTAATTCACATTGTCCTCAATATTTCCCATTAGAAATTTGAGGACACATAAAAAGTGACATTTCAATATAGCATGAAATTAATGAAATTGAATTTGACAATGTAGAGTCCACAGTTAATACCTAATGTCCAGCTACAGTTGAACTTAATCATTTGAAGTTAGTAAAAATATGATTTATAAAAAACTTACTTGCATACAGAACACTGTCTTTGTGGTTGAAGAGCCGTTAACATGACAATAACAGAGTAGTTACGTGGTACACCTCTCACATACTGTTTAAATTTGTCACCATTCATCCGTATAACTGATTTTTTACTGTTCCACTCAACCATTTGTTGAACTTTGTCAGCAAGAGGATCCTACAATAATTGTAAAGAAAATGCATATTTAATTAAACTTCCAGGCTATGCTTTTCTATTGTCAAGTTGTGATTTTTAGTTTGAAATAAAACACATGCGTAAGCCAAATGATATCAATCATGCATACAAAAAGTTGACAGTAATGTTGTAAGAAAAATTCAATATCTTACTGTTCATAAACTTTCAATTATCTCTATAAAAACCAACATTCAAAGAACAGTGTATCTCAAACATGTTAACCATGTCTTTCTCAGCTGGTCACCTATTCATCATGAAATCAGATTATTTGATTCACTTTGTGACATCGTTAAGGTATAGCTCATTAGGTGTTCACACTACTAAATTATGTTAGTTTGGTTACTAACTTAATTTTCAAATACATCTCGAAATCTTGATTGAATACTTACGTCTTTTTTTTGCTAGACTTTAAGTGTAACTACTGATGGTTATTAAAATCAACATAAAGTAATGAAGAGAGAAGAATTGTAACATTAGCAGATTTACACCTGACCTGCAAAATCATGGATTTTGACTAAATAAAATAATCATTTTGAGTGCCAGCTACTACCTTTGAATGGCATAATCCTTACACCAGCATAAATACGAAACATGCATTAAGGTCAAAATTTAATAGAAAGTCACAAATCGATGAGAATCATCAATGATGCATACCATTGACCTTTTCGAAAACCTAGCTAAACACCGTTTTCAGGTACGTTACAGATTTAGCTCTGGGGAATTACACCAAATGAAATGCATAACACAGTTACATGATATTTCTATTTTTTATCATTATTTTACCGTATAAGGTGAAAAAAATAATGTTTTTTAAAAATTTCCATATTCCTTTAATATCCATTGCAAATTTTTCAAAAAAATAAATTGTTTATGATGAAAATCAATAAAATTTAAACAGACGTATTGGAATCTTCCATAATGAATAAGGAATTTTCTGCGGAAACTTGTGTATTTACTTTATTTTTTGTATTAAATTATTCATTATTTATTTTAAAAAAGGCCAAAAACATCGAGTTGCTATTACACTCCATTAGGTGAATTCCCCAGAGCTATGTACAGAAAGTACCGGAAAACGGCGTTTAGCTAGGTTTTCGAATTCGTGAATTGGCTTTCAAATTGAATTTCTCACGTAGATCTACTAAAAAAAAAATAAGTACAGCATATAGACCAATGTTATCAATTACTTTCAGAATCAAAGACATCTACATGTACGTTGCATTTCGTAATACGGGGAAGTCAAATACCGGGCCCGCGAAGCGGGTCCGGGCTTTGGCTTGCCCGGCTATAGACTACACGTGTATATTTAAAAGAAAATCAAATAAAAACAATTAAAAAATATATAGAATTCTATACCTATCAACGAAATTTTCAGTGTCAGTTCTAGTCGGGCACCGCCATTTACAATGTAACTCAATGATAATAGGCGGGGTATTCCGATAACGTACCAAATCTCAACTTTTCGGATGAATAATAATCGTCGAGTGTTCCGAGTGAAAACGGAAGCAGTGCGTGTAATACCGAATGACACCTTTAAAACGGAAGGAATGAAAGGAATATTTTAAATAACGACTTCCCCGTTCATAGGCTTTGCCTAATTTCATATTATGGCATCCATGCTTTCTGTTTCAGATCATACATGTTTAAAATCTGGAAATAAATATTACCCCACCCACATAACAAAGCATGAATGAAATTTTGTAACACAGTTTGAAGCATATTTACAAAAAGATATTTAATATCATATAAGATTATTTCGAACGATCATATTAAAAACAAAAGTTTGCAACCTCTTTTTTTTTCTGAACAGCATAACTTATGCTAAATATTGCAAAGGCAATCAACAATACGGCAAACTTCAGCATTTTGGCTTCCATCTTGTGTGGAATACTTCCGGCTACGTGTGTTGCGTTGTGATTGGCCCAGAGCGCTATTTCGGAACATCTCGACGATTATTCATAATAATCCGAAGATTGACGGAAAGAGCCGAAAAGATGCATGCTTCACCGCACAGAAAAACGAGAAGAATGTGCAGACTTTCAAGATACCTCACAAATATAATTGAATTCTTTATAGAGAGATTACCTTTGTTTTGTTTAATATATAGAGGATATTTGTTTAGTTCAGTGTAAGATCGGAAATTCCCGAATATATTTTTACCGAGTGAGCACCAATCTGGGATATACGATAACGTATGTCCCAGCACCAATAAAAGGTATATTGCGCCACGAGTGAAATATGAACTTTTGGTGTTCACAAGGTGAAATATATTTCAATTTTACACTAAGCTAAACAAATTTTCTTTTTATTACATGCAAAAAAACGTTTTAAAAAGACATTTAACCTAATATTGAATGAAAAAGCGCGCCAAATAATAATACAACCTGACGTCATTTGCGACGTCACGTCATCAAGTTGGTACCCAGTACTGTGCACGCTGGTATTTCACTGAAACAACTTAAGGGGCTTAAATTCAAAACAGTGAAATTATCAAAGTGGTAATTTCACTGTTTCAACCATTGAAATTACCAGTTTTATATCACTGATATATTTCTATAAACCACCGAAAAGCATGTAATAAATAACTCTAAAAATGAGAAATTAATGTTAGGAACCATAGATAAGTCAATTTCATTGTATGCAAAGCTTATACTGGCTTAATTATCAGCTTGCCAGTTACGCCTCGTTCTGTTTCATGTTCTAAAAATAGCTGTACAATATTAAGAATGGTCTTTATTACATGCTTTTCGGTGGTTTATAGAAATATATCCATTTTGTGAACACCAAAAGTTCATATTTCACTCGTGGCTGCGCCACTCGTGAAATATACCTTTTGGTGCTCGCTCGGTGAACTATATTCCGATCTTACACTGAACTAAACAAATATCCTCTATATTATCGTGCTCAATTAGTACTAAGCATAGATGTCCGAGATGTCTCAGCACGGCTTGTTCAGCTGGGGTTATAAGAATAATGATAATAATAATTGTTATTAGATCTTATTATTATTATTATTATTATAAATACAAAGTGCAGCTCCAGGACATAACGGGACAAACAACTGGATTATGCCTACATTAAAATTATGGCTACATTAAAGTATGGCTGTGGACTGGCTAAATCCATTCAATAGAATTTATACGGAGACATTATAACATGTAGCCGAGAGTACAACTACACATTTTTTAATGTAGTTTTTAATTTATCATGATGGATATCGTTAGTTATTGCACGGAGAATCAGACATATTCTGGTAATTATAAAACTTCGACTATTAGATGCACGTTATACATGTATATGCATATATTTTTCAGCAATATTTGCACGGAAAGTCCCTCTTACTTGTGTCTACAACCACGGATTTATATGCAATATAAATCCGTGCTACAACGGAAAATTTCAAAACTGTGAAAGTACTTAGTAAGGTATGGATTAGAATATAAAACATTTAACTTATCTAAAGATGACCCTTATAGATGAAAGTGTTTATGATAAGCAAATAAAAAGTCCTTAAATGTGCGACTCTATAGAAAATTTATCGGGCTGTTTGGTCTAATTTAAAAAGGAACTAATTATTTCTTAAGAGTAAGAAAGATAAAATAAAAATTTCAGTTATTGAGAGCTAGTTCCAATTTGCCTTCTAAAACAATCGCCTGCATGAATATGTGTCTTCTTGTATAGGAACTAAATACACAGGAAAACGAACTTTCCCGAACAATGCTTTTCCCATCCGACATCTTGGATATGCATGTATATTCTGAAGGATTTGAAAACGCACGTCTGTTATGGGTTTTTAACAATAATTAATTTAAAATTATTCTATCAAATGTGTATCAATTACCTACTTAATAAAACATAAACTTGCCAATTAAAAATATTTAAAAATTGTTAAAAGTTTATTTACACAAATATCATGAAGTGTTAATCCATAAATTACGTTTTGAATCAGGATCGCTTTGCGGCGTACGTAAAGCATTTATGACAATATGATAAGTTATAAATTATGACAGCTTAGAAATCATAGAACTATATATATATATATCTTGCATCGCATTGTCATACATGTATGTAGTATTATGCACCGTGTCTTAAAATTAATGGCATGCACGCGTATCGTGTGCTGCTTCATGTGCCGTGCAGCGATCTCCATAAGCGATATATGGCAATTATATTATAAGACAATAGGACTGAAAAAGTTGTGACCTATTAGTATGTTTCATCAGTCGTTGCCGCAATGTATTCACTTAAAAGCACATGGCCCCCAGAAAGGAATAATGTTTTGGGTTTTAATATGTTTAAACAGTGGTTAAGATGCTTATTACCTGACACTATATGTATAAATCTGGACAATTTAGCTTCCTTAAATGTTTCACCTGACAGACACACCCTTTCGTAATTCCGATATTTTCGTTAGTAGTTCTGCTCCTTAATTGTGATGTAAATACCTTTATTATAATTAAAGTAGGTAAATATTGATTTTATCTACATGGATTGTAATTTAGCTTACCATTGGGTGTTTTCAGATTTCATTAAGATAATAAAAATAAGGCCAAATTATGTATCGATGTAATCGCTAAGGAAACGCGTAATAAGACATCAATAATGTCCATTGTTTCAAGCAATCATATCAGTATAAAACATTTTTGTTTGTTTGTTTTATTTATATTGATGTTCTGCACGTGCATTGTAATAAAAATTTAATATAATATCATGATCGCATCACACACCGTATGTATTTGTTTTTTAGAAACATCACTCGACCGATTATGTGACTTACTCATATATATGTGCGTAAATATTTTCTCAAAATGTCAATTATATTTACTAATGCAAGTATATAATTGCAATTAATGTTGTTACCATTGTGTGTGTATTTGAGTTTATTTATACTTTTAGTTTGGGGTCCGCCTGGGCTCCTTGCCATTGGTTCTTGTTGCTGGGTCATATGGGGGTTGCGGTCATTGAACGCCGCCTTTCCTTGTTGATCTTGTTTATCATATTCGATACCGGTTGTCCATATGGCCGAGTCCTCCAGAAGGGTATTAGTCATTTTATATTTTGGAGGATAGTGCAAGATACAGATACAGAAAGATGCCCCAATTCCAGAAGCTTCCCCCTGGTTATTAACGTGCCAAGTGTTAAAGCAATCATACACGGGACCTCGATTTAAAGTCTCATTCGAAAGACTGATTTATAATGTTATGTTGGCCTGCCCGGGAATCGAATCGACGATGTAGAGATTACAAGTCTCGCGCTCTAACTGATTGAGCTAGGCGGACTTGTTGTTGTTACCAGTTTGTGTGTTTAGTTTTGTTTATACTGGGCGCCGGCTTTGTCATATGTCCCAGAATATCGGCCTCTGTTACGTCGCTGGTCGTAAAGCCTGCAACGGAGGACTTAGTTCGCCTTCAACGTCGCCGATCATAGAGCCGCAACGGAGGTCTCCGCGTCGTAGATCTTTTCTAGGACCCAGTTCTTCGATCTTGAACGCAGTTGACAATATATAGGAAAGGCACCTCTTCCGGGAGCAGCAGCTCTTTGTAGGGCCATACCCTTCCACTTTGGTTAGGTCACACCAGCTAAGTGACCTAACTAGTGACCCTTCTGATGTGTCCTATGCCTTCAGAGCGACGTGCACGCAGCGAAGGGAAGTCGGGAGGTTAGGACATGTATGTATGTAGTTAAAGCTTAATGAGGGTCCATCCGCCCTTTTGGGCACAAAATGCAGCTTTCGCTGTCGAGTACGGACCCCGGACATGTCACCAGTCATGCCCTTAAAGAGTTAATTTTGAAGCACAAAATGGTGATAATTTACCTCCATGCAATTTCCACGGAGTATTAGCCAAAGATATGAATTTTGAGCCAAAAGTAGGTCACTGTACGGCGGTCAATGAGAACCTAAATGTACAGTAACCTGTGACAATAGGAAAGGTGTTTAGCCCTGAAAAGGACTTTTGGTGTCAGCTTTAGGCCTGCCTTACAAGCCGTCTATCTGTACTAGGGGCTCACGCACCCTAGTACACCATCCTCGTCGTCTCAGCCTTCTTTGTAGGGCCACTCCCCTCGGCATTAGTCAGGACATCGACAGCTGGTCCGCAGAAGTGACGAAGTAGGATTCCGTAGTTAACGCCCGCGGTTGAAGGCTACGTTAAAGTTGTCTACCAGCCAAGTTGTAAATCTTCTGCCGATGCCCTGTGCCTTCTCAGCGACGTGCACGCTCCGAGGGGAAGTGAGAAGGAGGTTAGGACACATATATATGTATATAATTATGCTTTTAAAACATTTTTCAAACATCGAGGAATATGTAAAATATATACTGCACATATTTGTCCACATTATA